GGCAGGAGGCTGGATTTACGCAAGAAGGAACTGGATGGGGGGTGGGGGGGGTTCAATTGGGTCTGTGACTTGGTGAGCGAGACGAGTAAGGGTATTTTGTCTTTGAATATTCTATATTGGTTTTTGTGCCAAATTGGAAGTGGACATAAACTCGGGGATGGAGGGAGTAATTGATATGTCCACTTATCAACTAATTGTCAACTAGTTGGTTCACTGGCAACATGATGAACTTACAATGAAAGAGTACTGATAGGAGAACGTAATACAGAGAGTACATATTCATATTAAAGACCCCCATAAACTAGAACTATTGAAAAAATGATAACCTGGAGTGCTCGCCGAGATAACTGGCCTGCACGTATGCGGCGTGCAATGCTTGAAACTCTCTCACGAGCAAAAGAATCATCAAAAACTGAATCACCTCCAACTGCACGAACAGCAGCTGCTTCTCTGTTGCCAGCATTGGGAATAGATGACATAAGAGAAGCTTCTATCTCTTTCCATTTGCGTTCTTCCATCTCTTCCTCTCTTATATAACTACACATAGATTTACAAACTTAACAACTTATTTCAATATGAGACCGAGAAGGGTAACAAAAGCAACATTGATAGCTTGAGATGTTCCTATATACCTCTCTTGTATAAGTTCAAATCGCCTATGTTCCTATGGTAGCCACTTTTTGATATCCTTAGCACTGAGATCAGGCAATCCTATAATGTTGAGGAAGAGTCTTAAACGAACCTAATCCTGTAAAAGAAGGAGGTTAGCATGAAAAAGACTTCATGTGCTGTGTGATAGAATGTTTAAGCATTTATATCTGTACACGTTCATCTTTAGCCGTCAAACAAAGTAAAAGAAGTAAATAACCACCAGACTTATCCCACATGTAAACCCATTCAGTGTCAATTGCTTCTTCCAGAGCTAGTATTCTGGCATGAGCACACATTTCTCTTTTGTGACCTATATCAGTTATAGCTCCGTGCCGCAGGGTCTTATTTCTCAACCTAGACATAAGAGATCCAGCAGCCAATTCTTCATTTCTCAAACGATCTCTTAATTTCATGACATCAGCCCTAGGAAGTACAAAATTGCCTCCTTTATCTCGAATTACAGCAGGATCCCCAACCAAAAGAGCAGCTGAGCTGGCAGACCTCTGGGGAGCAGAGTAAGTTCCAGATAAAGCGTTTCTGGTCTGAATATGAAACATGGTTTTAGGTTAGGAACAGGCAGTAAATTTAAAAGATATCCATATTTAAAAATCTGACACAATTTTATTTAGGGGTGTGCATTGGTGCAAGACCAGACCGGGACCAGACCGAAACTCCCATAGACCGACGACCGGACTGAAAACCTTGACCAGACTTGACCGTACTGAAAACCTTGGCACCAGACTGGACCGGACCGGCTTTTTAAGTCCATACCTAAGACTGAACCTACTGACACAATAGAATATTATGATCAAGAAATCAAGAGAAATTGCGAATAAAGCAAATACCATGATTGAAATACCTCGAGAGTCAAACAAGGGCGAGAGAAAGCGGATCCAAAAGCTACGACAAGGGTAATTGCTGAAACAGCAGCTCCAGCAAAAGGGGGATAGATTTTCAAACTTGCAACTACACCCCATCCTTCAATAGCTAATGCAACGCCATAAAGCAAAAGAAATGCACCACTGAGGATAGAAAGTAGAACAATTTGTCAAGTACTTAAATATTCCAAGGAAAAATGATGATAAGAACATGAATTTTTTGGATAACATGATAAAAATTCATTAAAAAATGAGAGAGCTCCAACACTTCAGGCCTTCAGCATACAGAGAAGAGTTCAACAAAACCTGACGTTTTTCCCACAATCTGCATGTGCATCGTACACATACACAGGTAACACCCTTGGGGAATAGACTACTATCGAAGGTGAAAGGAGCACCTAGAGAAGACAATAATTACTGAGTTATTAAAGCAAGAACACATGTCAAGAAGAAATAGGAAGAACATCTCACTGTGGGAGAGGGCCAACATAACAAGCCATTCCCATGCCCCTATATTCCAGTCTGATAAGAATATCAAAAATGATAGTAAGATACAAAAGTATTACGGAGTAAATGGTTATAAAAATCTCTTATCTAACTTAGAACTTTCAGGAAAATAAATGGAACATGAAGACAAAGCATACCAAGTATAATAATGGCAGTTGATGTTATAGTCGCAAGCCAGTGTGATTCCTTCACAGTCAGGCCATACAAGATAGAATATGCAAGTAGTACTAAAACTGAGCCAAGGTACAGAAGCCCAAGATGCAAAGCCCTGCAAACCTGCTTGCATGAGAAATTACTTTTGATAGCATGCTTCCAAGTTTAGACGTTATAGTATTTATAAAGACTTCTTCAGAAGTTAAAAGAAAACTCCCCCATCAGATTTATAATAGGTCTGCTAAGAGATAGCTAGCAGAACTGATTCATAAACATTAATGTGTGAGTCATACGTATGCATATATCCTACACCTACAACAACAAAGCCATAATCTATACACACATTGGGTAACTAGAATAAAGTATATACATGATTGTAACAATATAACATCAAGCTTGACGTTAAATAACAGCTTTACAGAGAGACTGCACAACCCAAAATCACATAATAAATATATTACTGTTTAGATAAACAGATTTAGAGCTTGCCTTCTCGTTTGTCGAGGATATAACTCATTAGGTTCAGGGGGTTCTTGTAAACAAGCAACTGGACCCACTTCAATACAGTCTGAATACGCAAATTTGTATGCCCTCCGCACATATTCATCAACGTCTAAGCCATTACCTGATGTGAATGGTAACAATAATTGCTCAACTAATAGTTTAGAAGCTAAATAGGAGAAGAAATTACACATGTTGAAAAACAGCAGCATACTCATGGGAAAATTTATGTTTTGAACTGTACTCTAAGAAATGATAAAAGAAAATACAAGTCAGAAGGTTCACTAAAAAGGAGACACAAAAGCCAGGACAGAGATTTGTGTTGCTTACCATTAAAAACCATTCTGCAAATAAAGAGCA